TTCGGCTATTCGAGTAATCGAATAAATGCGTTTTTTCGAACATTCGAACATCGAGTATTCGAATTAATCGAAATGTTGGAATATTTTATTTGAGCACGAATATTCGGTCCCAACTATACTTAGCTCCGCCTATTGACAGTAGAACTAACAAGAGATCGAAGAAGCACACTGAGTGTATCTTATCATATGAGCTACCCCTACTGGCTAACTCTTTTCTGCTTCAAAGAAATTCGTGCAGCCTTCACAGTCCCGTTTATCTCGATATATGCTCACTATGTTGAAAGAAAACAAAACTGATTCTAAAATTCAAGAAGTTTTCAAACTTTCTTTTGAAACCCCTCTTTGAAAAGACTCTTCTCTCAGAGGAGCAGCTGACCACTTATAAAGTTTCGACTATTTGCAAACTTTCTTCCCCTAAATTACTATTCTGTTTACCACGTTCTTTGACTGCCCTTCTCATATATATACGCAAATTTGAACGAATTTTCATAACCAGTAATTTAACAAAACTAAAAGATGTTTTTTGATAGCATATCTCACCCGTCCTCACTCAATGGTGGACACGAGTGCAAATTTTTGAGTCAGATAGAATCATTCAAGCAAAAATTCTCTTCTGTTCTACTATAGCAGTGCCTCTTGAAGTGATACTGCTCAAAGTGACAGGAATGGCAACCCTAATCTTGAAAAGAGTTGATGAGTATAAACATATCTGTATAAGCTAAGTACTTATGTTGCCTGTTTCTTTAATCTATAATCAGGCATAATGCAGCTGAACAATCAACAAAAAGCTTCTCTCACTTACATATGCTAGCAAAAAAAGAAAACAGAATAACAAGGAGCAGAAGATTTTTTAGAATTTTTCTGAAGAATTAATGCATAGCCATTAATTATGTCAGCTAAGACGAATAGGTAAGCATAGTCACAATGACTTAGAACAAGTTTATGTCGATAATTTTTACATATGATGGCAATTTTCGCTGTTCATTGTTGAGGAAACAAAACAATACTGCGCCTACGTCTTGGCCTTATCCCATCGCTGAAAGATGGGAAGTCGGTAGAGAGTGCTTCCATCAACGTCAACATTGCAACTCAATATGTTATCCAGGCTGGAGATTACCACCGAAAATTCATTAATAGCCAAAACTTATCATAAATAGGAACAGAAATATGCATCATAAATAGGAACAGAAATATACGCCTATAGCTTCTGATACTTAGTCGAACTGTCTTCAGATCAGAGTTTGCAGAGGAATTGAAATGTGTGTTTTAGACTCGTAACTCCCCTTTACTTCTCATATAGTGTCAAACGTTCATAGAGTTTAGACCTCTCAAACCAATTGTTGTTACAGCATTCAAGATTGCAGTCTACCTGGAATACAAAGTTTACTGATTTCAATGTCCTTCACAAACCGGTAAAGCCTGTGCCCCGTTTTCTCTGGGTGATGAATATGTAGTGAACGTATGATAAGTTTAAGTATCTCACTTCGAGCTTCTGCAGTAGGCGTCCTTATCTTTATATTTCCCATAAAATTATAGCATTTTAACTGAGGTAGAGTATCTTGAAAGTCATAATACTCCAGAAATATATTCCCTCGCATTTATC